CCGCAAAAAATAAATTATAGTGTTGGCTTCTAAATCTCATGATTTTATTACCAATTCTATATAAAAAAAATAAAGGAAAAACTGGAAGAAAAAGTCCGGGAAAAAGACAGAAAAATGTACCTCCAACTCCAAAAGCCCAAAAACGTCTGCCCAATTCCACAAATCCCATTTTGGTACCATGAGACCAAATTGGGATTATTATGTAAAAGGAAAAGACCACATTGCCCTTCATTTTAAATATTATTTTTAAAATCTCACAGCCCCTACTGGCCGGCCAGTCACCGGACCTCCGACAGCGGCGGTCACCGGAGCTCCGGCGACCAGCCGACAATTGGTCACCGGAGCTCCGGCGGTCAGAATTTTTTTTTTTTGAAAATTTTTACAACTTCAATATAACGGTTAACAACTTTTGTAATGCTATTAACAATTTCAGTATAGCAATTAACAACAGCTTTTCTGGGAAATTCAACAAACTCCGGCGACCAGAAACAATTATTTTGAAAATTTTTACAACTTCAATATAACCGTTAACAACTTTTGTAATGCCATTCACAACTTCAATATAGCAATTAACAACAGCTTTTCTGGGAAATTCAACAAACTAAGGCGACCGGAAACAATTTTTTTGGAAATTTTTACAACTTCAATATAACGGTTAACAACTTTTGTAAGCCTATTAACAACTTCAGTATAGTGGTTAACAACAGGTTTTTGAGTTTGTTAAAGGCATTACTGAAGTTATAAAAAAGTCACTTTTTGAATTTTTCGAAAAATTTGTTGTTAACTGCTATATCAAAATTGTTAACCGTTATATTGGAGTTGTAAAAATTTTTAAAAAAACGTAATTGTTAACGTTATACTGAAGTTGAAAATTTTTACAACTCCAATATAACGGTTAACAACTTTTATAATGCTATTAACAACTTCAATATAGCAATTAACAACAAGTTTTCTAGGAAATTCAACAAACTCTGGCGACCGGAAATAATTTTTTTGAAAATTTTACAACTTCAATATAGCGGTAACAACTTTTGTAACCCTATTAACAACTTCAGTATAGCGGTTAACAACAGGTTTTTAAGTTTGTTAAAAAGCATTACTGAAGTTATAAAAATGTCACTTTTTGAATTTAAAAACTTGTTGTTAACTGCTATATCAAAGTTGTTAACCGTTATATTGGAGTTGTAAAAATTTTCAAAAAAACGTAATTGTGAACGTTATATGAAGTTGAAAATTTTTACAACTCCAATATAACGGTTAACAACTTTTATAATTCCATTCACAACTTCAATATAGCAATTAACAACAGTATTTCTGGGAAATTCAACAAACTCCGGCGACCGGAAACAGGTTTTAAAAACCTGTTGTTAACCGCTATACTGAAGTTGTTAATAGGGTTACAAAAGTTGTTAACCGCTATACTGAAATTGTAAAAATTTTCAAAAAAATTGTTTCCGGTCGCCGGAGTTTGTTAAATTTCCCAGAAAAGTTGTTGTTAATTGCTATATTGAAGTTGTGAATGACATTACAAAAGTTGTTAACGGTTATATTGAAGTTGTAAAAATTTTCAAAATAATGTTTCCGGTCGCCGGAGTTTGTTGAATTTCCCAGAAAAGCTATTGTTAATTGCTATACTGAAGTTGTTAATACCATTACAAAAGTTGTTAACCGTTATATTGAAGTTGTAAAAATTTTCAAAAAAAAATTTTCCGACCGCTGGAGCTCCGGTGACCAATTGTCGGCTAGTCGCCGGAGCTCCGGTGATCGCCGCTGCCGGAGGTCCGGTGACCGGCCGGCCAGTAGGGGCTGTGAGATTTTAAAAATAATATTTAAAATGAAAGGCAATGTGGTCTTTTCCTTTCACATAATAATCCCAATTTGGTCTCATGGTACCAAAATGGGATTTGTGGAATTGGGCGGACGTTTTTGGGCTTTTGGAGTTAGAGGTGCATTTTTCTGTCTTTTTCCCAAAAAGTCCCCTAAAAATTTTATTAATAAGGAAGATTTAATAAATTTTATATAAAAAAATGCTGATACTCTGAAAGTTTTGTACACATAAAACCAATATTCTAATTTATTTCCTTCACACGAATAAAATTTTTAATAAAAAATTTTTTCTTTTTTTTTTAAATTAAGCTAGAGGTGAGCTTAATGCATAAAATTTAAGAAATGAGTTCTATTGTATAAGTCTACTAATGATAGTATTTTTCTCTCATTATTTCTTTTTTCTTTTGCCAATTGCATTAGCTCTTTCAATGTGATTTTCTTTTTTAATCCGTGAATTGAGTCTTTCTCATTTAACCCAACCATAGAGTTAACTTAGATAACTATTTGAGTTTACCTAATCAATTGAATCCAATTAAAAATATCTCTATCAAAATAAATTTTCCCTTAGTTAAGACTTAAGAGAGATCATATAATTTCTTATTAAAAAAAAGAGAGGTCATATAATTTATCATAAATTTTATGAAGAAAAATTGTTAAAAAAAAATCCTTTACTGCAAAATTATTAACAAAAAATATCTAATGACCTAAATCTTTGAGTAGGTAGAATTTTTCTTCAATTATGTACAACATATGTTTAATTATATATTATTTTCGATCTTTAATATAAGAACTAGGTGACTAATTTGAGTAGATTAAGAAAATTAGTTATATTAGTTGTTTGTAATAAATATATGTTGTTTTATCTAAAATACCCATATGAATTAAATGTCATTTTGATTAAATATTTAGTATGTACAACTATTGCAAGGGTTACCTTAAAAAATGAATAAATATGAGGAAAAAATAGATTAAAGTTTTATATTAAAAGCTAAATTAAAAGTCAAACCAACTCATATAAATTTTTTATTCTGCGCATGGTGATATAGGATGCATATCTTGTTTTTGTCAAACATACGAGTTAAATTAAATCCACCGGAATCTGAATCTTTAAACAAATGTTATGTACTATTGGATAATAAATTGGCTAAAAGTACAAGTTTAACTCTTCTCTTATTTTTCAGATACAATTTTATCTGACTTTTTTTTTTTGGATTGTAATTTTACCCTTAATTTTTTTTTGGGGGTAATAGGGGTAAAATTAAAGAAAAAGGGATAAAATTGCATATGAGAAATAAGATGATGATTAAAATTACACTACTAAAAAGAATAAAAATAAAAAAAATAAAAAAATAAGATTAGGGTTAAAATTACATGTTTACCCTAATAAATTTTGCAATAGAGAATTTTTTTAGTAATTTTTTTTTTCCGGAGTTGTCCCCTTTATATATTGTCCATAAGTTTTGTTGAATGACATAATTTTTTTAGTGAAAGACAGGACTAAAGTTGCCAAACCCAGCCAATGAAAAGTTGGCGTTGTGTGAGGAAGGGGTAGGCATAGAGGTTGCTGCCTAGTTCTTCCCCCAGCAACTACACTGAGCCACATGGTAGCCTCCGTGCGTTTTCAAAACTAATTAAATGCCATTAGTCACCGAATATGCCTTCTCCCAAATTCTCTATGCCCCTCCCCTCTCCCCTCATCACTCAAATATTTTCTCCGTCTTTTTGTTTCTGCGATTTTATTTCTCTTCCTTTTTTTCTTATTAGAACCATGTTTTTGTTGTGACGATTTTAGTGTTAACAACAGAAAATCAAAATATACACTTGACCAGTCAGTGTTCCTGCAAATGCCTTGAATTATTTTTTTTAAAAAAAAACTGAGAAAAAAATGAATTTCAACTTTCAAGGAGTTGTGGATAGAAATAGAATATTTGAACTCGTGGATTATAACGACACTGGCTCTTTTCTTTTCTTTTTTTCAAAGGAATTTGTATATTTAGTTTGATTGGTCTAGACTCCTCCTTTTGTTTTTTTTTTAATTTTTAATTGAACGTGCATAAAACGCTTTGAGGAGTAGAAATTTTAATTTCTGAGATCTGATATGATTTAATTCTTTTTTTATATGGTTTTCCCTGATTTTGTGTTAAAAATGTGGCATGAAATCCAGTTTTATGTCCATGACCCATCCAAACTTAATCTTTTCTATACTTTTGACATAAAGAATTATTTCTTCTCCCCCGAAATTTTTAAGTATGTTCATAATTTGCATTGTTTAATTATTTTTATTAAATATTTTTCTAAATTTTGAAGAGTCAAGAGGCATGGACCCATATAACAAAGTTATTACTTCTTTTAATATAAAATCTAGTTAACAAGTTTACTCCAATTTTAAATATAAGACCTCAATCTATTCCACTTCTTAAATTTATAACTTTTTTTCTAAATCCTTTCTATTAATACATGTGTCAAGGGGTTTTTTCATAAACAAAATAGCATCCAATGCAAATGATTAGAAAATGCGCTTTTGTAAAACTAACTCATATGAGTAACTTAACTAATTTTTTAGGCCTTGTGGTTAAGCTCAGCATAAAATAATGAAAAAGGTGCCAGCCCCGGGATCGGTATTACTGACAAGAGGCGTGGACCCCGAACCCATAAAAATGGCATGTTCTTCCTCACTTTTTATTGGGCTTATTATTATTGGGCTTTGTTTACAAAAAGATGGCCTAGACCCAAACAGGAATTTAAAAACTAAGTTCAATAGTTCCCAGCTAATTTTTTGTAAGCCCTGCCCCGTTGCTTCATGGAGCACAAACTCAGGCCTTGTAAATAATTTTTTATTAGTTTTAAAATAATAATAAAATGAATAGTATGGGACTTGATCGTGATGATTTATTAGGCCTTGTGGTTAAGCTCAGCATAAACTTATGGGTGTTGGGTGTGTTTGAAGGATGGCAAAAATACTGAAAAAAGACCAAAAAAGTGGTCTAATTAGTAAGGAGTTGGCTCATAATCCACAAGGTCGTGAGTTTAAATCCCGCTGCCGATATGAGGACGTTTTGGTGGGCAATCTGTAAGTACTTCTGTAAGTGTTCTCTGAGCCTGGAGGCATGTTTTGGTCCTGATGAGCTCCCGAGACCCAACTCACCTAAACTTTTGTATACCAAAAAAAAAAAATACTGAAGAAATATGACAAGAGGACTGGGGGGTTGCTGAGGCCACCATTCATACAGAAAGAATTGGAGCAACCCTATTACGCCACGGATCAAATCTCAAAACCGGTGAAGAAATGCGAGGGAATGATGGACGTGGTGTTCCCGGCGGTAGAGGAAGAACTAGCGGAGAGAGCCATGGAAGCGAGAGACGCTATTACGTTGGCCGGAGAAGGCATCTTCAGGAACACTGTGGCGGCTCTTCTGACCATCCAGGAGATCAGAGCAGGAAGCTCCACTCAGAGTGCCTTCTCTTTGCCTCCTCTGAACATGCCTGATTCTCTCCTCATTCAGGCCATTCAGCAAATTCCATCATCCCCACCAATTGATACCATACATAGAATGTAGATTTCATCACACCAACTGATCGGTTGTATACTTGCTAGGTAGTCCAGTTTAGGAATATCATACACACACACATAATGCACCAGTAGATTATACCAAGTCCTTGTTTCAGTGCCTTGATCAATATGTTCTTTTTTTCCCCATTTATAACAAACTTTTGATCTCGGTGGCTCAGAGATAGTCAAAGCCATCTTACTTACTATGGTCACTGTTAGTTACCAACGTCTCTTTTTTATGTAGCAATGTGGGTTAGATTCAGTGGAAAAGACTAATCATTCACAATGTGATGAACTAAGATTTGAAATTTTCCTAAAAGAAATACTCACGTTTAATACCTGATAGTATCTTATATGATTCAAAAAAACTTCTTTTATACAAATCTCTAATGATAAAAGTTACTTTTTTAAAACAATTAAATAAACCCTCAACTAGTTTAATTAGAAAACTCATTAAAAAGTAGTATTAAAATAAACGGCACAATTGGTCTCTGTTAGACAGCGGTATACAAAATTTAAAACTTCAGTGAAATTTTTTTTGGGCAAACAAACGTCAATGAAAATTTAATTCCATCAGTTTTAACCAGATCAATTCGAGGGTTAAGAGTTTACTTCCACCCGGTTCCTAATACAAGTCATTTTAACCAATTCATTAATATTAAAAAATATAAAAATAATAGTTAGCTCATTAAATCTAATCCCAATTTGAAATTTTTTCCTTCTAATTTTATACATGTTAAATGAGTAAAGGAGAGAGAAAAACACAATGAGTTAATATGTTGAAAATATTAATTGCATGAACAAAATTGATAAATAAGCATTTATTACTCACTCAGTGCCTTATATTTTGGACCAATTGTTTAAAATTATTTTCTATAAATATATCAATATATTTGAATTGCCTTTATAATACTAACTCCGGTCCTATTTATGAAATCTTGTTTGTAAACTACAAGCGATGTTTTATAATTAGGGTCAGAAGTAGTAAATTATTACTTCCTGCTGGAGTTGAAATAACAAATAAAATAAAAAAGAGCAGTGAGTGTTCGTCGTTAGTCAATTTTTCAGAAGTATTGAGATGTTTCGGCATAGAAGAAGTGCTCCAGACAATTGGACATGTAGACTTCGAAGATTTTTCAAGAAAATGGAAAGACGTGCAAAAAGGTTTAAGCTTAAAATATGTTTGGCACTGGTAGGTGCCTAATTCATTCTTTTTATTCTTTTTTCCTTTTCTTCTTTCTCTTTATATCGACTTCAGAAGAGAGTGGACAAAGCCCACATGACATGAATACCCTCATTTATGATACTTAATCATGAACATTATTTTAATATTCCCTTTTGTCCTTATTATAAACTTTACTCCTCTAGTTCTATTTATAGGATAGAGATAAAAAGTTTTTTTAGTCCTATTTATAAGTCACTTTATTAAATTTTTACCATAAATGTATTATATTGTCCTTCATTTATTATAGTGTAGATGGTTATTTTTTTTGAAAAGTATATATATCAAATAGGGGTAAAGTTAAAAAGTTACTATATTTTAATAAAGAGTTAATGCAATTTAAGGTTTTCTTGGTCTGTGTAAAACATACTCCCTCCGTTCCTTATTATAAGAGACAAATAACCAAATTGCGTTGATCAAAAAAACAGTTAAAATCAGTTAAAGACAATTAATGTATAAAAAGTATAATGTTTTTTCCAACAATGCCCCCATTAATAAGGAGAGAGAGTATGAGAGAATAATTAAATTATTAAAAGAAAGAGAAGTGAGAGGAAGAGAGAGTATGAGTTGGTGACAAAATAAATAGGGGTAAAATAGGAAATCAATACAAAAAATAGAGACAACTTTTAAGTGTCTCTTATATATGGGAACATGCCATAAGCATCAAATGTCTCTTATAATAAGGAACGGAGGGAGTATTAGAAGTGTCTTATAAATAAGACCAAAGGAGTAAATAACTAATTCACAGAGAATGAACTATTAGTTATAGTTAAAACAATAAATAGATTAGAAATATACCTTTGTCTTTAAATATGTCCTTATAATAAATGAGAAAAAAAATGAAAGAGAATGTGTAGAGAAATGTGATAAGAGAGAAATAATTAATCATAACATTAAAAAAATACATTAAATATTAAGACAAACCCAAATTAAAACTTATAAAATAGATCACACTTTTTCCTAAATTTGAAACTTATAAATAGAACTAGAGGGAATATAAAATAGAAAGTTAATATTCATAAGAGGAACGGAAAATTGGAAAAAGTCTCCCACTAAAATTATTGGGGAAAATGACTTTATAAATTTTTATACACAGAAAGTGTCAGTATTTTACAAATTTATCATACATTAATAAGTATTGATACTTTGATTTAGATCGCTTCTCACAGATAAAATTTTTTATAGTATCCCAATCCAAGAGAAATGACATTTTTAAAATAATCCTTACTTTTTAAAATGTGGAGAAAGTTGAATTAAGAAGGGATAGAAAAGTTAAAATATTTTATAAATTGAGTAAACTTAACAATACATTTTTTTAATAGAAAGCACATTTCCTTAACCCATGTGAAGAATTCCTAAGGCCTTATATTATACTCCTTTTGGTCCTATTTATAAGATTTAAATTTGGTAAGAGATATGGTTTATTTTATAAACTTCAATTCATGTTTGCCTTGATATTTAATATATTTTTTTTCTAATATTGCCCTTAATCACTGTATTGAAAAATAGACCAAAAACTAGTGAACTGGTCACTTGGTCGGTCTGGTCAACCAATATGAATGGGACAAATTTGACTCGAGATGACTTGAACCAATAGGGTAGTGGTTAGGTTAACTCGACTAGGTGGGTGGGTTAACCCAGTTGCATTCCCCCCCCCCCCAAATATTTTGATGAAAACTTCTTTTCTTTTTTTGTAGGTAGTTAATAATTATTACTTAGTAATTGAAGGATTGTAGGGAGGGATATTTTGTTATCATATATCTAGTTTGATATTTTGCTAGGATGAATATTTAGTGATTTTGGTAACATGATATTAAGATTTCAATTTGTCAAAGGAGTTGTATAGAAGGTTCAAGAGAAATTGTTAGTATATGATTATTTTATTAGAGATTTAAGTTATTTAACTAATGTTGAGTCCTTGGATGGTGTGATATAAACATTTCAATTATTTTTTATTTTTTAATTTCTTATCAGTTTAACTCTCAGGTTGACTTTGTTTAACCCATTGAATCTTGATCCACTGTCTTAGCCGGAACCTTGCCCTTAGTTATTTCTCTTTTATCATATTTCCCAAAACATTCTCTTTAATCATTTTTCTCATTTATTACTATAAGGGCAAATTTGAAAATAAAAAAGTCTATTTCTAAACTATTTATTATTTTAAACTAATTTTAACTATTTGTTCATTATTTTTAAATTAGTTATTTAAAACTTATAATAAGGACTGGAGGGAGTATATGTGAGGGCGTTATGTATCAATTCTTTTGTAACTTCAATAATGTGCACCAACCACATCAAGATTTTTAAATTAAAAAAAATCTCTATCTCTCTTTTTTGAATTCATTTCATTCATACCAAACATGACATAAGTTGATTTAATTAGATAATGTTTTCTTTCCTATATAAACTTAAAAGATTGATTAATTATAACCAACTAATTATTTGAAGCTCATGTCAGTTGCGTCAATTAATTCTATTTCTATGTGATAATAGTTCAATAGTATAAAAAGAGGGATAGATACATAAAATGGGCATGAATCCTATATATCTATTTATCTGTTTCTCTCGATTTTGTTCCCAACAAGTTCATCCCACAAATAAACCCATTAGCCAAGTTCATATATATATATATATATATATATATATATATATATATTGCTCCCCTAAATTGAATGAGGATTGAGATAACAAGTCAATTCAAGATGGAAACCATATATCTAAAATGCTTTGAAGCTGTATGTCAATTAATTGAGCTGCAAAATTTTCTTTTGGTGGAGTGTTACAAAATCAAAAGCGCCCTCCATATATGTAGCCCCTTTTTTGGAATATACTTCCTGTTTTTCTTATCTATCGTTCAAGGTTTCTACACATAAATTAAAAAAATATAATTGATATGTTGAAATTTCTTCTACTTCTCCTAATTAATATGCCCTTATTAATTAAATGCAGTAAGCTAGGTAGGTAGTAATTCTTTGGTTGAGAATTGTGCTCAATCATGGGTAAGGGTATAAGTGGAAAAACAACATTATTGTTGCCTTGAACTTATAAAATGATAAATAAATAGAAAAAAAATTTTCAAAAAAGAAAGTGACCAATAAAAAGAAAATGATGGGAGTATAATGGAAACTTTTAATACCCAACCTAACGCCAAAAGAAGAAGTATGAATAATGCTAGCTGACACATGGCTCATTTTACAGCAGGAATATATTGAAGCAGCATAAATGGCTAGTCAAAGATTAAGCCTGATTCGATTTGGTGATTTTAATTTAATTACTCCCTAATCTCACCAAACACAAGAGAGAGAAAATAATTGATATGCTCAAGTCACCTTAAAAAATGCTTATAAACCGCTTTGAATTTGCAGTCAACAAGGGACTTTAAAAGATATGCGAATAATAATAATGCAGTCAAAATTCATTTTTTTTTTCCCGAATAACTTTTCAAGTCATCAATACTTTCCAGTTCTTTATATATACTAAAAGATAGTGATGTTACTTAACTTAGTTTATATGGCCATAGTGGTTTATTATGATTTTAATTTGGATATGTTGTGCTCATATTTGTCCTAATGTATTAAAAAAATCTAGTTATTATTCACCCCGTTTCCTTTTTATTGGAGAGAAGTGTGTATGGGCAATCATCAATTAATAATGGATTTTATTTCATACCTAAGCTAAGTAAACTATACATATATATGGGAGCGTGAAACAAATAATTTAATGTAAGCACTTTAATTTGAGATTAGGTGTGCCAAACGACATCTGAAACTTTTTAGAATGCTTTT